GAGAGAGAGGGAGAGAGAGAGAGAGAGAGGGAGAAATGAAGTAGAAAGGTTTTCAAGCGCAATACCTGGATGCCAGTGATTTGGTTGCCAGAGGTTTTAGTTCTACCGTGAATATGCATTTGCACAACCAGCTGAAGATATTCCCCTGTCCATCCACAAAATCAGTTTAGGAACTCCCCAGGTGAGAAAAATGTAACACTTCAAATTCAACAATAAGATAACATCCAACGTTTATGTACCTGATACTTCATAGAACTGGCAAGTGCCTGTAATGGAACCAACTACAAACCCCTGCTTGTACAGAAGAAATTTATATGGTTAACATCATGAAGGAGATTTTCGTAGCAGTGTAATAAAATCATGGCTAATCAAGTACTAAGAGTCATACTTTCCCATCTGGTTGATAACATATAGCAGTTATAACCTCTCGCACATCAGCCCAATCAACAACTCGCTTCTCAAAAAGGCCCCAAACTCGAACTTTTCCATCAATTGATCCACTTATGAAGTAATTGTCATTGAGAGGGTTGAACTGAATGCATGTCACTGGTACCATTTAAAAAGTTGCAGAATTAAATTTCAGAATATTACATCACATTAAAATTTGAGGGAGTACTAATATATATGTATGTATGTTCTGATTTGAATCTTTACCGTAATCATTGTGATGGAAAACATTTAGGCACTGACTGCAACCAACTTCCCACAGACGGACAGTTTTATCCATTGAAGAAGAAATAAGACACTGCAATGGAGCATAGATATTGAATCAATCACAAACTAAACTAAAGAGTTGTAAATATGATTAAATACGAGTCGACTAAATAAGTAATGTTTCAGCACTCACATTTGAATTTGACCAAGCAAGATCTAACACATCACTCGAATGGCCATGGAACTCTTGCAGCGGTGACTCTTCAATTTGAAAACCCTTATCAGGAAAGATCACTCGATAACCGGACTTGATCTTTTTAAGTTTGCTATCAAAGCTGCCTTCAGCTGGTAAGTAATTACAAGAGGCATCTGTCAATGTAACACACCAAATGCGTACGACCCCATCTTCACCACCAGTTGCAAGATATTGGCCATCAGGACTAAACTTCATAGCCCTTATAAACCCCTTGTGCGCATGAATTTCTTGCCCATTGCATAATGCAGCAAACTCCATACACCTCTTGCTGTTCTCCTGGACCTTCATCCTATTTTGTTTGAGTATTTCAGTATCTGGTTTTGATCCCTCAAATACAACTTTCCCACCTCTTCTCTTCTTGTTTATAAACTGTTTCCACCAACTTTCCTTCTTCTTTCTACCCTCATGTGAATTCCCACATTCTTCTACTGGAGCCTCAACTTCTCTCTGGGAAGAATCTGTAGCAGAAGGTGAAATAATACGAACAGCCTCCTGGATGGAGACTAAATTCAACTTATCTTGTAGGTTTCTATCTAATTCGTTCTGCATAAGATTTGCTTGATTGTCCCCTTCCCTTCTACAACAACCCAAATTTTCTTCAATATAACTAGAAGAAGAGATGCAAGAGCTTGAGGCAGCTCCACTGCATTCCAAAAGTCTTTGCAATCCCATCATCTTTGATGAGGCACCAGATTCCATTTCCATCTCCACAGAACCAGACTTTGCAGAATCAAACTCAGCTAAACCCATCTTTCGTAGAAAACTCTCCCGTCTTTCCTTAACACTTGGTGGCTCATTCATCCAAATTTCATACTCCAACTTACTAAACCCCGGTTCCTCTTTTGCTACAATTGACTCTTGAGATGATAAGTCCACCGAGTCGAAGAACACATCATTTTCTCCATCATCAGAGCTCAGCATGTCTCTCACTTAAGACCAATATTCCACATATAAAAAAAACACACTATATTCTAACACTCCCTCCAGCTGCAGGCAAATGAAACAAACAACTTAGAACCCCTTTAAAACCCACCAAAGTCCTCAATTCACGGACCGAGTTTTTCTCCTTAACTATGCAAACATAAAAAAAAACACTATATTCTAACACTCCCTCCAGCTGCAGGAAAATCAAACAAACAACTTAGAACCCCTTTAAAACCCACCAAAGTCCTCAATTCACGGACCGAGTTTTTCTCCTTAACTATGCAAACACAATGAGGCATCCACAGCAAGTAATTCAACTGAATATTAAATAAACAAGCATGGATAAGTACGAGGAACCAACTCCAAAATAGGAACCACCATAGCCAACCGATTTTTGGCATGTTCTAAAACACCAATAATATATAAATACATATATACAATTACCCAAATACTAAAAGCAATAGAATATAAAAAAAAAAAATGAAAATGTCATGCAAAAAATCCGGAAATGGCACAAATATTCAAATGCAGAAAACAGACCAAAGCTGAATTCAAGGTTCGAAGACTATACCTCGGTTTGAATGCAAAGCAAGAGTGATATTGTTGAATATAGCCGACCCTCCTGTGATTGTGTTGGGCAATGCAATATATTTGAAAAGGCCAGCTTTCACACCTTTGAGCGCATACAAAACAAACCCAAAATCTCCTCACTCAAGTGCTTTGTATTGAACCCAATAGCCAAATGCTATGAGGGTTTGGTCTACCAGAGAAAATGGCGGAGGAAAGAAAGGCTGCTCTCGAGATCTCAACTCTCAAGTCAAGTGAAGGGTTTCAAGGCGCAGAAGGAGCAAAGCAATAAATACGAGCGGCGTGGCCCGGGAAACAAGAACCTCTGCTTGTGCTTGTGCTTGTGCTGCAGCCACTCTACTTTTTGGTTTGTTCTTTTAGGCTAAAAACTACCCAACAATCTCTGCAAAAGTACCAACAACTGTAGACTGTAAAATCTCACGGAGATTAAGAGAGACAGGCAAGGCAATTAAGACTGTTTTTGTTTTTGTTTTTGTTTTTTTGTAAATTTTTGTAGTTTATGATGCCCAGGTCAATCTGAAAACTCAACTGTAAATTATAGATTAATGGAGAATTAATGCAGAGCATTCAGTCCGATGAAATTAGTCAATCTAAACTACCCAATTAACGGTAAATTCAAAACCCAATTGAGAAAGAAGAAAAAAGAGGTCAAATTTGAGTGCATGTAATACAAGTAGTGACCCTATAAAGTTATAACAGAAGTGTAAGAAGTCAAACAATATAAAAATATAAAAATATAAACAGTACAATTGGGATTGGGTTGTCTAATGTTTGTAACTTCTGCTTTACATTTTGAGACTTACTTGCCAAAAGCAACAACTTAGTGCCAAAATTAAATTACAAACAGCATTACCCAGAGCCTTAATAAATTGTTTGATTGTCGTGTGCTTTCTATCTCTCCTCTTCTTTGATAAGTGACACGAGAAGAAAGATAGGAAAAATGGAGCAATGTAACCCCATTTCATTGCATTTTCTTATTTTCTCACCTTCTTTGATGAGTGAAACGAAAAATGAGATAGAAATAATGGAGCAAGGAAATCGAGATAAGGAAGTTTTCCCCGATGAGAAAGGCTTCACATGCAAACCACAACTAGTGCTGGTAGCCACACTCTATAAAGACAAGACGAGTGCTGGTGGCTAAAAGATAAAGATGGCTCTATAGCTCCTCAGCTCAGCTAGTGCCCTCCCTAATAAGTCCCTAGAGAAAGAAAGCGATCTGAGAGCCTATTACTGACAGGCGTCTACTACCTACCTCACCTTAGGTTTCCACATTACAACAACAACAAACAAACAAACAACTCTATCACTTTCTCTGAGACCAATTTATATCCATTTATAGTTTGCTCATATGTATGTAGACCTACCTATGGAATGTTGCACGAAAGTGGAACTAATGGTGTTGGCGTGCGTGAATTAGGTTTAATTAGGAGATTTGTTTGTATAGGTTCTTGTGTTATTAGGATTAATTCAAAAAGAAACTAAGTTAACACTTCCACAAGCCATGTTGGGGCGTCAAATTCCCGTAAAAATACACTCTCAGTTGATCTTTATTGATTTTTTTTTTCTAACAAACAAAATACATACTGTATTCATTAATCACGCAGACGCTGCAAGAGTAATACAAATACAATAACCACAAAATCAAGACAACTACTCACAAAAAATTACAAATCAATACAAAGGAATTTAGACATGAAACTAATGAAATTAATGCATACTAAAATATTTCCCAAATACCAATCTTTTGACAAAATTATGACAAATGTTTCTTTGTTGTCTAGTGCTTTTATCTAGGCTTTTTTTTTTTTTTTTTTTTTGTTTTGGTTTTTTTAAGTTTTTTTGTAAATGGCTTTTGACCTCTTTTTATCCAGAAAAAAAAAAAAAAAAAAAACTATGACACGTGGACAAATTTATACTATACACGTCCACAATGTCCATTTGTCTTACTCTAACAGTACATTAAATATTAACTGTACCATCTTAAGCTTAGTGCCAGGAAACTTGGAGAGCAATTTGAATTCCTAATTCCTATGCTCTTTTATGTACATTCTACTATTCTAGTTGCTACTCTAAGTTCTAGGAATCAAAGAAGCAAATACACTTACTGAAAACGAAGAAAATACAACTTGAAATAGGAGTTGATCTTGATATACCAATTTATTTTTCCATTCTTTTTGTTTGAATGAGACCGTTCAAAATGTTAGAGAAAACATATTATGTAACATATAGTATGCCACTTCATAATAAGAATGGCATCGATTGTATGGGCGGGTTCCATCTCGATTAGAAGTATGTAGTGCATAAATGTGATATCCCTAACTTTACTCAATAATTGCAAGTGCGTCTATAGTAGACTTTGCAATTTCTTGTACCAACTGCGATCAATTTACATATATGGTGCTTGATATCTTTACTAATGTAGGTTAATTTTTCTCAAAACTAGTATATTTTCTTCTTCTTTCGCTTTGTTCTTCTCAGCATATATAAGATAAACAGAGAGATTAATACAATTTAATTCTTCTCAGCATTGTTGTTTTAATGTACTTATATGATGCTAAGAATTCTCATAAAATCAGTCTGCAGACAATATCCCATGACAATACAATTTACAAACAAACATGAAAATTA